TGCTTTGTGTTTCCTTCAGTGGTTCTTTTTCAGATGGCTTTGGTAAGGGTGGGTTTAATAAAGCTCCTTGTTCCATAACCTGCTTTTTTAGAAAGCTTGTGGGGCTATTGTGGAAATTGTAGAACAAACCGTGGAAGAACAATCTTATTGCTTGCCAGGTAAGAAAAGTAAATAAGAAGTGTATTGCTGCTGCATATTTTTCTCCTTTTTTTTTTTTTTTTTAATTCTCCAGACACAAACAAGATCTTTTATGTATTGATTGTTGTACCAGTTCTTGTGGCATTAATTGGCATCATTATCCTTATTGTCTACTACAAAAATAAAGGGAAGGCACTGACAGGTACGTTGTAGCTAACAATTTATAGGAATTCATCTGTGTGAAGCCTGCATGTCTATTGACTGTGTCAGCTGTTTCGACTAGGGATAATCATCAGGGTAAAAAAGTCCGACACTGATATATTTTACCTAGTGCAAAGCAGGACTGCAGGTTCTTTCCTAAGCATATTAGTCTTGTTGCTGATGTCTGATGCAGGATATCAGTGCAAATCACTGTGACACCTTGTCACACCAGCCAGGACCACTGTCAGAAGCGGCAGCAGTCCTTCGATATGAGCAAAACAGAGCCAGTGACATGGTACCTTTGTCAAAATGACATCTTCAATACGCTGCAGTCATGTCTGAGAATGTGAGCAAGGCTGTTGCTGGAACTAGAACCAATGTTTTGGCCCAATATTTCCATAGTAGCCCAAAAACAACAAATCTATATTTATTGCTGATGACATTAAATATGAACACAAGGGAAGTGCTGCAGCAATTGCTGAAACTCATTTTAAGCTTGGGGCTAGAATAGATTTGGGAAAACTGTTGTTCCCTTTGTTTTGCCTTCAACCTGGATTTGAAAATCTCATACTTTTCCTTGGTTCCCCTTACATTTTCCCAGCCCCCACCCCCCCTTTCCCTTTCCCTTCCCCCCAGTCTGCTGCTGAAGTTTTTGTATGCTTGCATTTGTGCATGCACCATTCCTTTCTGCTAGGTTTTACCTGAAATATTCAACAGCATTGCAGAAATAGCCCAACACTACCTTGCTAATTGTTTGTTGTGCTAAATCCAGGATTCTTTGGATGGGCAGAAAGAAATCTGGTAACCCTCTCTTAGCAAATCAAACGTTTTCAAGGCAGGTTACTAGATTAACCTTTTAATTTGGATTTTCATAGTGCAACAGCCTCTCATGAAAGGTCTTTAATCCCTTTTAAGACATTCCAAACTGACCCTTTTAATAGTAGCACTGCTGAATAGAATCTGTGTAGCCACAGAAACCCATGGAACTGGGACGAGCCAATCTGTGCATCAGCGTGGATATTAAATATGTGCTACGGAACTGAACTAACAGCACAGAAGAGGCAGTGGCTAAATACCTGATGCACATTCAGATAGACAGAAAACTGGCTTGAGATTAAAAACATATGCAAGACTGAAGCAGCACAAAATTGCCTTGAAGGTATCCCCTTAAACTAGAGTCTCTCTTCCCATTAAACAGCGATTGCTGTAATAAAAGCATCATTGAGTGCAAGCCTTTTCCTTGGAAGATGTTCTGATTAATCAGGATTCCCAATTAGGTACATCCTGATTAAACGGAGTGTGCTGTGTTTTAACCTGCTATTCCATGGCTTTTGTCTGAGATTTCCTAGCCCTCCCTCCCCCAGTCTCCTCATTCCTTTCTGTGAATTTCTTTGGGTCATTCATGTGACATCTCTTGAAATAGACTAACCAACTGTACCATTATAACTGGGTCGGTATTGGGCCAGTCATAGCCTGGTGACATGTGACCAGGACTGAGGCCCTGGTTGATGTGGAACACAGCTTAACCACATTCTATTTTAGAACTCACAAGACATTTGTTCCGGAAGAATACATCCCATTCCAGTTACAATGAATCCCCAGCCCGGCCGTCACTTGGACACTCGAGCAAAGTCAATAAAAACAATCGTGACTGCTTAGTTTTCATATAACATGCTGGATGATGAATAACTGTATATTGTTTGATCTGTGCTTAACCTAAGAATGTAGCTATGGTGCTTAAAAGGCTATTTTGTTTTCCCTACAGCAGATCTACAGCACTGGGCAAATCAACTATGCAGGCAAATAAAAGGGAAAAAGGTAATTTTTTTTATTGTTTTTGTGCTTTCCTAATTCCTTTCCTGGATCCTATAACAAAATCAACACTACAGTTGTCCTGGAAACAAGATTTCTAGTTCACCAAACAGTTCTGGGGTCTTGCTGTTTCTTTCTATTCTAGTAAGAAATGATACCATGTTGCTCGCGCTCTCTCTCTCTCTCTCTCCTTCTCAAAAACTAAAAAGAAAAAAAAAGGAATCTTACTCCAAAAGAGCCAATAGTCTAGTGGGTATTGATGTGAGAGAGATTCAGAGCAGGGACGTGATTTTGGGTTTCTTATCCCATGTGAATGCCATAATCACTAGAGACATGGACAGAAGTGACATTTGTTGTGCAATCAGCCCTTCTGAAAATGCTCTGCAGCTGAGCCGTGATGCATGTGTATGGCTGCAGAGCACTTTAGAAGTGGTTGATTGCATGACAAATCAGCCCATATCTAATGAGGGTTCAAATGAAGTTGCTTCAAAGTGGAATACCTTAGGGAACTTGTGCTCCCTAGAGTCAGCCTGTCAGCATGATTGTTGTAGGGCTGTGCAAAATTTTAACGGATGTTTCACTTTGAAGCTGTTTCAATGTGTTTTGAGCTTGAAACAGTGACATCAAAATGAAACAAAAGGTTTCTGAAACAGCTTTAAAACAAAATTAGGGCACTCAAAACATTTCAAAAGTTTTGAAATGTTTTGAGTTTTGAAGCCGGGCTTGCTTGCAGCTAAACGGAAACTAAGGAGAGGAAGGGGGAAGAGGGGGAAAGGACAGCTCTGATATTGACATCTAGCTCCCAGTTCAATTCGCTAGCCCCCTGTTCAATTCCTCAGTTCTCTGATTGCTTCCCCAGCTCTTCCCAGGGGGTGCGGGCCCCTGATCTGTGCACGGAGTTTCAGCAGTCTGCTGCTGCAGGCTGGGGCAGACTGCAGTTCTGCCACTGGCCCCAGCCTGCTGAAACCTGGCACGCAAGTCCAAGGGCCCGAGCCCCCCAGGGAGAACTGAGGGAATGAACAGAGAGCTGGGGAATCAAACCGGGGGCTGGGGAAAGGTCAGGTCCCTGAACATCCCCCCACTTCCTGGTTCAATTCTCCAGCTCCCTGATCTTTCCCCCAGCTCTCTGATTGTTTCCCCCAGCCCTTCCTGGGCGGCACAGGCCCCTGGATGATGCAGGATGACAGCAAGCTGCCACTGCCAGCTGGGGATAGCAGTGGCTCTGAGCTGTTTTCCCAGCTGGCAGCAGCAGCCTGCTGAGACCCCGCATGCAGATCCGGGGGCTGCGCCCCCAAGGAAAAGCTGGGGAATGATCAGAGAGCTGGGGAATCGAACTGGGAGCTCTGGCTAACACGTGGAGCTACCCCAGCTCTGAGACAGCACGCGGTGCCCTGCCAACCCACTCTGCACCCATACAATGGGGCAGCTGCCATGTGGGTGCCAGGCAGGGGGGGGCAAACCCTGCTGCCCTGCACTGCACAGGGGCTCTACCACAAGCCCTCAGAGGCCTCAATTACTGCTGCCAGATCTGGTGAGTGCGGGGCTTTTTTTAAAGCCCCACACTCACTGGCTGTGGAGCATGCAGATGTCAGCATGCTGCTGCTGTCGGCTGGGGCCAGCACCAGCACCCAAGTCTGCCCAGCGCAGCCCATGCTAAGCGCTGGGAAAAACCCATTGCTGGTGCTGGCCCCAGCTGACAGCAGTAGCCTGCTGTCATCTCACACACAGATCTGGGGGCCCGCACTCCCTAGAGGGCTGTAGGGTTGTGCCAGATTCCTCCCAGGGGGAGCAGCCCCCCGATCTGCATGCAGGATGACAGCAGGCTGCCGCTGCCAGCAAGTAATATGACTTTTGCTTGAACAGTTTGAGGTGCAGTTTCACAAAATGCCATGCACCTATCTTGTTGAATCTTGTCAGGCTTCATGCCCTCAGAAGGGGCTAGCATTCCTGCAATTTTCATCCAAATCAGGCAAGAAATGATGAAGTTATAGTCATTTTCGTGATTCCCCATTATAGCCTATGGGCAAAATGTTGAAATGTGTTGAAACAGCGAAACAGTTTTGACGAAACGAAATGGAACAGTGCTTCAAAACAGCAAAACAAAACACTGTCCCTTTGAAATAGTGAAATGGAAGTCGAAACGAAATGGTACTGTTTTGCGCAGCCCTAATGATTGGATTTGGGCTGATGCAGCCCAGCCCCACCCCCAGTGTTGTCTGCAGGAAGGAAGGAGGAAGGACCTTCGGACTGGGGTTTGCCTGGCCTGAGCTGGAGGGCCAGATTGGGGATTGAATGGGAGGGGACAGATTGGACACCCCCCGCCCCGTCGCACTTTGTGTCCCCTGCTTAGCCCCATCCAGCTCAGGTTGCCTTCAACCCTTCTCCTCCCTGCAGATAGCACCAGAGCTGGGAGAGGGTGGGGAGGGGCTAAGGAAGAGAGGTGCAGGCAGGCTCCTCCACTAGATTGTCTCCAAAGTAGATCCTGATTTCCTTCCCCGTGCCCCCACTCCAGCAGCTGACCTTGTGTTGGGTCGGGGGTTGCTTTAACTCATAGCACATTATGTGAAGTTCCATGAGTTCAAATGGGACCGGCATGTCTGTCAGCACCCTAGGGTCTTAGTTACTCTGGAAGAAGTTTCCTTCTCTACCAGAAATTCCACCCTTGATCTGAGGAAACTTTCCCAACAGAGCTTCTTTTGGTCAAAACTAATGTGTGTGTTTTTTGCAAGAAGTTTTAATTCCAGTGAATCAACATTTTCTGACGCAAAAATGTTTCCTCAGAAAGTCCCCAGTCAGCTCTCCTTGTTTCTCAGTACAGAGACATGTGGTCACAGATTTCTTACTTAACCATTCAACAATTACTAGGCTACCTAATGAAAGGCAATAGGTGGTCTGGTGGTTACAACACAGTCCGCTATTCTAAGGAAAACCTCCTTTACTTCAAAATGCAGTTTTGCTCTGGAAAATTATTCTAAAAATGGCACTAGATGCTCCTATGTTTATTCTCTCTCTCTCTCTTTCCCAACATTTTCCATGTCAAAGAGGTTTAGCTTAGAAGTTGGGGGGTGGAACTCTAGCTCCAAGTCTGCGTTCCCTGAGGCTGGCTTGATTCATTCTTTCCTTCACATACATCATCTCCAGTAACACAAGTGTGCCCTCAGCAAGATCTGTGGACATAAAGTTGAAAATGCCTCTGGGTTCTTCAGAGAGACTTGCCCAGGTGTGTTTGATTGAATGTTAGCCAGAAGACACCCCTCCTCATTTCCCCTCCACCCCATAGTCTCTCACGAGAGCAGAATTACAGTTTAAGTCTTAGCTGTCCATGGCGCTGCTGAACTTCAGTGACATAAAGATTAAGTTTTTGTAAATGTCATTTCTTCTGTGTTTTAGCAAAAAGAATGCTCTCAGGAGATGTTTAATGAACTTCTGTTTTCTTTTATTTAGGAATCCCCCAAAGATCCCTGCCTAAACCCAAACGTGGCAAATGCTACTAGGCCTCAGCGTTCGGAAGGAATGTATTTGCTAGCCCATGCTGACAGTTCTTGTTCCGAAGACGCATGTTGCCCAAATGGGCATGCTCTGTGTAGAAATGGTAGCCCAGACGCAGTCCACTATGAATCTGGAGAGAACACAACCTTGTCTTTAGTAACTGAGTTGAAAGATGACCGTTTCAGGCAGGGTCCCATGGAGGATGAATATGTAGATAGAGCTCCCCATGCCACTGGTTATTTCCCTTTGAGCCAGTCTGACAGCAAATCACTATCACCATTTTCAGGGCCGCTGGAGGTGGGGGAGAACGATAGCTTGAGTCAGTGCTTCACAGGAACTGAAAGCATGGTGGACTTGGCAGGTTGTTATAGCTCTGATGCTTCATATGGAGCAGACTGCATCCATGCATCCTCAGACAAAAGTCTGCAGCAGTCTTGCAACTGTACGTACACTCATGTGAAGGAAACAGAAAGCAAGGATACAAATCACTTCTGGATGAACCCTGACTCTGGGTACAGCTGCAAAAGGTGTGGTGTTTCATGTAGAGAATCTCCCAGAAAGGGGAGGCAACCCCACTGTCCAGCAGTAGACAGCACCATGGCCTCTCCAGAAAATGGACCTTACCCACAATGTGCATGTGGCCTGGACTTTCTCTCTGCTGGTCAGAGTACTTTAGCAAGTGATCAAAGCATTGAAGGTGATTCCTCAGACAGTCCTGACACAAAGCACCAGAAGACAAACAGAAGTACTTCGGGAGCTAATTGTAACACCTCAGACCTCCCTCCTGCATCAGGTAAGGCTCCTCTTTGGTAGGCATGAGCTCCATCTGGTCATGTAGGATTATCCCCTGTATTATTTTATTTTGAATCATCATAGAAGGTCTAATTTGATGGAAGGACAGGTGAGAGTACAATGATGTCTTTTCATTTACTGGCCTAGCAGCTGATTGGAAAAAGCCAAAGACCCTTGTGTTCTAGTGATTTCTAGAAATAGTCTGTACCCAGTGAGATTTTATGCTGGTGCCAGTCATTATTCTCTGCCCAGCCCAGAAAACTCCAAATTCTGGCCCCTACTGCAGAAACCAGACAGTTTTGTTATTGAAATATTCGGTGGCACAACCACATGAATTCATCTCACTTCTGTTTCCTAACATGGTGTCATTTTACCTCCAATAAGAATTGTCAGTTTCTAAACTCAACAGAAATATAACTGAATGAGGAAACAGAGGAGCCAATATTTCAGTGTTTGATGCTTTCTCTTTACTGTAAAACACCACATTTAACATCACAATCACGGGAAAGAAATAATTGCACAGATAATCGGATGCAATGTCTCCACCCCTACACACTCCAGTTCCTGTAACAATTCTGGAGCCTGCTTATTGAATGCATCCAAAAGTCAGTAAGGAATAAGATTTTTTTTTAAACTATGGAAAGTGAGTAAGAAAAAAATTCCTGTCTGAAAGTTGTGCATAACATTTTGATTCCTCAGTTTTCTTATTAGTACCCATGTTGGTCCTCATTCCAGTAAACACTCAGCCAGTTCAGTGACTTAAAAGGCAAGTGTTTATTCAATCTATTTATAATTAATTTTAGAAAAACTGTACACTGAACCTGTATATATACATACTTCTACCACCTCCCCTTCTGTGGGTCATTAGCCTTCTTAAACTGGCTTTTATCCAGGACAGGAGCCCACTTTTAATGCTTTTAAACCACGTCCTTGGCCTTGATTAGGGTCTCTTAAGTATTATTGTAACACAGATACTAATAATAATTCACCTCTTACCTATATAAACATAGAGTGGTACCCTGGAAGCTTGGAACTACTGAAGCCAAATGTGCTACAGAACCCCCCTCTCTCTCCCCAAAATATCCTTCATGGAGGGAACTTGAAAATGCTGGAGGAATCATTCTTAGAGCATTGGTGTTTTCTTTCACTTCACTCTCCTCATTCTTTATTTCTGATGTCAATGCTTTTCTGCAACAGGAGGGAGATGACACAGCTTTTGTGCAAAGCTGGGTACCTTTGGGACCAAAATGATTGACATCTGAGAGGTGTGCCAGCAGAGCACGTCAGTTTTGGCTCTGGCAGAACGTTGCTTCCCCTTTTAAGTCCTAGGATAACAGGAAAAACTGGGGGGCAGCAGGGAGAATGGGTGCAATGTAGAGCAGTTGGTTCTGAATGATACCTGTTTAGAAAGCATGTGCAACTTAGTCTGCGTCAGTTCTTTGTGGCTCTAAACTACACAGTTACCTTAAGGTGCATTCAAATACTACAGTGCCATCTGGTGAAACTTAAGCGTGCACACACTGTTGCTGATTTCCCAGAAGTTAAATCCAACTGCTGTGGGAGTGGTAGTTATGTAGTAAGGAATTATGAAATATTTCTCCAAACTGGGATGCGCAGAGCTCATCTTTTTCCAGTTCATGGAATGGCCGTGCTCTGGTGGGAATATCAGTGTGTGCTTAAACAGCGGTTCTGTTCTGAATCGCATCCACATAACAAGTCAAATCCTTCTCTGCCGTACCTTGCTAACTGCTGGGATGGAAAATATGGAACACACAAAAAATAATGTTTTGCCAGTGCTTACACTGTGTTTTGGCAGAGCACCCAACCCTTGAAATCAATGTGCATGCAGGCTGTGGCATGTCAGAGTTACGAAAGCAAGCTGGCTGAGAAATGGAAAACTTGCACAAAAAAGTCACCAAAATGGCTTTCCCCCCCCCTCCATTATTCAAAATTTCAATGAGAAGTTTTGACCAGTTTCTCTGTCGGGGATAAAACTCAGAATGTGGCTTGAATGAGCAATTAAGAGTCCCATACCACATTCAGCTACACGATAGAAATGTGCTAACCAGATTCTGTTCGCTGGTTTCCCTTCAATGGCAATGAATAACTGCTGTGATGGGTTATAAAAATTGTTTATCTCTAAGTGTTGAAAGGAGGCCAGTAAAACATGCTGAATTTCTAAAATCACTGAGACACATCCATAACAACACATTAAGTAAACTACAGTAGGAACAATGCATCTTAGAGACAGCTAAGAACGTAGAGCTAAAAGCCTGTCTTTAGTTTGTTTTTTGAGGGGGCGGGGAGGGGGTTTCACCTTGGAAAAGTTTTATTTTTTTCAGTGATGCTTCTAATTTTCATGAGGCTCAATCCTGCTCTTATTAAGGTTAAGGATAGGCAGGATTAGGCTTTACTGAAAAATTTGTGTCATGGCCAAACCCTTCGTATGCTTAACAGGCCGTGGTACAGGGCCCAGTTCCACAATGTATTCAGCGTAGGTGGAAGTTTGTGCCCTATGAAGTCTCATTAAAGATGGTCACAAGGAACAAGTTGCAAGATTTAGGCCATAGAAGGAAACTTCATACGTTCTTCATGACCTTTGGGCATGACAGTAAGGGTCATGTTATTGGATACGAGCACTGCTAACATCCATGCATGAACAGCCTGGTGACAACTTATTCAGGTCTTTCAAACTTTATTTCAATAAACTTATTGCATAGCCTGCATAATAATGTCAATTGTTTGCTAAGGGGGGAAAATTACCATTCTATAAATATCTAAGATGCATGCAGAGGCAGATAATATTTTCCACAAAGGTCATGTTTGGAGCGTTTTCCAGTATATTCTAGTTTTGCAAATCTTGAGAGTAAATTTAAGACTTGGAAGGCTTTGCTGAAGGTAACAGGGAGATGAGAATATGTAGGAAAAATCTCCTCTCTTGTCTCCAGGAGTTCAGTTTGAAAGAGAAAAAAGGTCCTTATATCTCAGCTAGATTTTCTTGGAAGACAGGTTTAGTGCTGGGAAGATGATGATAAGTGAGTCCCAAAAGATTACTTTTGATTATAAAGGCACCTGGCACCAAAGAGGAAGGAACATGGAGGAAGAATAAACTACAAGACTGGATCAAATTCGCTCAGCTAACTGTTCATCTCATGGGAGAAAATATTAATCACATGTATGTGCTTTTTCCCTCCTCTCCCCAGGAAATGTGACTGGAAACAGTAACTCTACATTTATCTCAAGTGGACAAGTAATGAATTTTAAAGGTGATATAATTGTTGTCTATCTTAGTCAAAACTCCCAGGAGGGACCAACCACCACTGGAGCAGCTAATGAGAATGTGGGGAGCCCAGTTCAAGAGGAAAACCTGAACCGTTGCGAGACTTTTGCTGGCAACACTCAGCATTACAAAGAAAAGTATGCTGAAATCAATCTAACTTGCCCTGTGGAAAATGGAGAACTAAACAGCACTGGGGAATATCATAGGTGTCCAGGGCCTGTGGCTCAAGAAGAGAGCCAAGACTGCCAAGGCAGGAACTGCTGCCCCAAGGGAGCCTCTCAGCCAGTGCAAGAGGAGGGACAACCAGGGCAGTGCTCAGAGAAAGCACTACTCTGACATGAATCAATGCCTCGCTAATGTTTGGCGAGAACACCATTCCTCCAGGGACACTGAAGAGCAGCCCACAAGCACCAGGGACAGCTGTGCAGCTGTGCTGTCAGCTGATAGTCCAGGTGACTGAGGCACACTCATCAGCTCTGGGTCCTGCGCTATTCCTGGCACCGCTTGGAAACTTTATACAGTGGAAAGGACAGGCCTCATGGCACGTGCCTGTGATGCTGGCGCTGTGGAAAGTACGCATGGAGACAGACTCTCAAGTGTGTAAAGCTGCCTGTGGTGCTGTTGCTGCAGGAACGTCTTTGCAATTGTACTGTCTGTTCTAGACTCTCAGTCCTTTTCTTTGCAGAGACGATGACGGGTGGCAGGGTGATTGGGTCAATGGTAACTGTACTCGGAGGGGGGCCGGCAGCCTGCCCTAGTGTGCAGGCAAGCAAGACCTCAGGCCCGGTGTGTGCTTCTGCAGTGTGAACAGGGATGACTAATATTCTGAGAGCAGCCTGTCAACACTGACCTATATCTTTTTATCCCTGACTGGCATCCAAACAGGGAAAGATCAAGCCAAACTGTTTTGCAGGGCCTTGTTCTTCCCCTGTGCCTCTTTAGGGGCTGGCCATGATGGCAGCCCCATGCATTCAGGATTAGTTGGCACCTACCCCACTCTACTAAAGACAGCCATGGCCTCAGCCTTTCCTAGGAAAATCAGTGCTCCGGGTCTTGAGGCTATGTTGCCTGTCAGCGCTGGAGCTCTGCCAAGCAGGGTGTTGGCTTTTAGGTATTCTGCTCTGACTGAAGTGCAAAGGTATGATCTTTGCAACAGGCAACCAGAAGGGGTGTGCCTTAGAGCATATCTGATGCCTTTTACGTGAAGAGCAGCACAGCTCTTGGCTTCTACACACTGCTGCATCACTGCTATAACTCCACGTGAATCAGGACCTTGGGAGTGGGGGTTCTTGGTGGCCTGTTCCTTGAGATCCCAGAAGTCCAGGGCACAGCTCCAGCTGTGAGGTAGATGCATTTCCTGCAGGTGCATGGAGCAGGCAGCACATGAGGCCAGCACATGTTTTACTTCCTTGAGTCCTAGGAGTGGCCCTTCTTCAGGAAGGTTTTCTTTTAATTAAGCAGAGGTGTAGCCGGGGTGGGGGACTACCACTGTAGTATACCAGTACAGACTAGGGGAAGAGGTGGGGAAGGGCAGATGGACATGGGTGAGGGGGGAAGGGAAGGCTTTCCTTCCCAGGGTACAGCAGCATCAGCTCTTTAGCTGTAGCAGCCCTGTGGCCTGGCTCCCTGTGAGCCAGTGCCCTGTTTGCTCCTTCCCTATACATACATACTGGGCATGAGGCTGCAATGCTCCCCCAGGGCGTGGGAGCAGGGAGGGAGCACCATCCTACTCACTCCACTTGTTCCTGATGCACACTTGGTGCGGCACTACCCTACGGGGTTCCTGCAGCCGGGCAGAGACAGTTCAGGATTGCCATGGCAGACTTCAAGCAGGGGTGATCCTTGTGCCCCCTCATAGTTGGTACCCGGGGCAGGTGCTCCACTTGCTCCCCCACCAGTTATGCTACTGTAATTAAGACAAGGTGCAGCCAGTTGCTCTTCCAGTGACCAAAATGAATCTGTTCTGTGTATGTGAGGACCTTTCTCAGGCCTGTGCCTGCCCAAGCAGGCCTGCCATTTTCCACGGACACTTGTGTTAATGAAGTCAGGGCAGTTAAGCTGCACAGATGTGTCCCTGCAGCTGGCCCCATCTGAGCTCCAATCCAAGTTTCAACTCCAGACCTCTACTAAAAGGTTGAGCCTTTGCTGCTTGAGTTAAAAAGCCCTGGATTCAAAGGCTCCTGAAGACAATGGAGAGACGCCAAGTTATGCCAGTGGGTTTTGGATCAGACCCCAAGACCCTGAGCATCATTAACCTCTCTGGGCACAGACAAATGTACATTTGAAGCAGTTTCAAAAGGGGAGAGAGCTGCTGCTTAGTAGCTTGCAGCAGCTGTTACTTCTAGCAGTTACATGTGCACAAGCTGAGAGCAATACAAATGTAGCAAAAGAGCTCCAGCTTTAATTCTACTCCATCCAAGTGCATGTTTGTCTAGGCCCTACGTGAGCTAGCCACTAGAGTACTGCTTCTCAACCAGGGTGCTATGAGGTCCTTTTAAGGGTGCTGTGGGAAGCCACTCAATATTGGCACTTTCAGGTGTGCAAACACCTACACACAAGTCACAAGACAAACCCAAAGATTTCAAATAGGAATCCAGAGTGCCAAAAGCTTTCTGTCCTTTTGTGGTCTTTCTGAGTTTGCACATTTTTTCAGCTCTCTTCTCCTTAAGGGAGACTTCCAGGGCACAGAGGCTGGACTGGTTGATATTTTTGTTGAGGAGAAGCAGAGCAGAGCTCCTTCTCCATGCAACACTTGATAAAATAGCTGCTTTACAGCCTAGTAAGGCCTATGGATAGATGGGATGAAATCATGGCACCATCAGAATCACTGGGAGTCCATGTCCCACTGAGTTCGGTGAGGCTACAATTTTATCCATAGAATCCTGGGATCCTTGTGGAACAAAGCTTGGAAAGGGATCTAAAAATGAAGACAAAAAAGGAGCATGTCAACACAGGCATGATGATGATGCCAGTGTTGGAAATGTAACCATACTTTTCCTTGTCCCTGGCTGACCCCAAAGGGAAATTGTCAATCCATGGGCATTGCCCTGCTGTGCTGTGTAGGTCCCATACCTGGCTGCTCAGTCTCACTGGCCCAGAAGAAATGTCTGCATCTTTTTGATTCAATTTGTAAGCTCTCCGGGGCAAGGACTGTCTTTTAATGTGTTTGTACCATGAGGCTTAACAGAATAAGCCTCCATCTTGGTGCTCGGGCTGCTATCGTAATACCAATAACTAATGATAATAAACTCCTAAAGCTTTCTTTGAGTTAAAATGAGAGGTTTGTTCAATTACACAGAGAATTCGTTATAAGAAACTTGTATATTTAGATCATCTGAGTAGTTCAGTGTCCACTGTCTCTCTGTCCCACAACCATGAAAGTGGGTGTCCTGCTAGTGCTTTATATCAACAGGTGGATAAGTCTGTAATTTTTTTTAAAGGGAAGACATGGATATAAACCTTCACTTTTCCGTTTTTCTAGAGCTCAATTCATTAACAATCTGTCTGCAGCTCAGAGTTATATGAGAGTGATGATCACAGCTTGGGTGGAGCATCTATTTGTAGCACTTAACTTTAAAAGTTGCTGTTTTCATCTGTACCTATAAGAGTCCAACCCTAACATCTATGAATCTACTGTCACTACAATAGCCTATGACATCTCCAGGTAGTCCTCCTGGGAGGAGCATCCAGCATGGCATGAGTGATAAAACAAGTGAAATGCCAAGTGTAGACTCTCTAAGTACTGATACAGGCCTCATGCATTTGGGTGCTGTAGATCCCTGCAGAAACTGTATTACACACCATCTCCCTTTATCTTTTAAAAGTAGCAATATCCTTTTCCTATGTCATGACTAATGGAGACAAAGTTGCCCTGTACAGTGTGATAATCAGAACAGGAAACAAAGAGGTAGGAGGCTTGTATTTTATTCCCATTTCTGTCATGGATTTATTGTTGACTTGAAGCATGTCTTCTGGTGCTGTATTTAAGTATCTGCAAAACAAGGATGCTGCCACTTACCTACCTTGTGTGACTGTTTGAAGGTCTGTGGTTTTGATATTGTTCCTTGCAGTTATGGGTAAAGGTTTGCAGAGGCTGGACTCGGGTGGCCCAGTCCTGTGTAAAATTTTTAAAATGCTTTGAGGTTCTCCAAATGAAAACGCTGCCCAAGGAACTTTGTGGAAAGAGTAGGTTGATTGCCACCCCTCAACAGTTGGTAAGAGAAAAAGAAACCCTAAGTTTAAACCATTAATTGTGAGAAAGGCAGAGCTTGTTCCTTCCATGTTTCCTGTTTAGAAAAGAAAACACAACTAATAAGGATAATTAACTTGCCCTTGTCTAGGGAATGCTATGAACAGGGTCACCAGAAAATGAGTAGGGCATTCTGCCGAGCTGTCTGAGATTTTCCAAGCAATGCCAGACCACTCCCACAGATCCAGCCTTGATTACCACACCTCTGTCCCTCCTTCCAAGGTTCCTGCCAGACAAACTAAGCTTCAGCCAAAGGAATAGTACATCCTCATTACTATGAACCCCCAAGGACAGGGAGAGAAGCTCATTAAAAGAGGGAGTTTGCTATCACAGGGTTAGTCAACTTGCTGTATTGTAATAATGAAAACAGTTGTCTCCTGCTCTTGGGATTGTTAAAAGCATGTCCTTGTTATATAATGATGTTTGTTATGTAACAAGGTTGTCCTATAATAAATAGAGTTACTTCTGAGTCCATCAGCTGTCACAGGCCAGCTGGGCACTGTGAGTATATCAATTTAGTTGCAGACTGACTGAGCACTGCAACTTTATTAGCCACTGGGCTTTTTGGTTCAGGATCGAGAAGTTGATGTTGGAAAGGAAAGAAATGACAAGTTTTACTTACAAAAAGGAATGAATTTTACTTATGACAACAAAAGATATAGTTTGCATATATAATAGTTAATAAAAAGGTTAAGCTAATAAGCAGACAACATAACAATATAGATTAAAATTGACAGTGATGATAAAAGGGATAAAGAAATTAACCAAGAGTTTTCACTTGGTTAGTAACTTATTGATAGTCCCTTGGTTAGAAAATGCACATCAAGTTGAATCAGCGAAGTCAGACGTCTCTGAACTGGGCTGCCCGAAGGATACTGGTGGAAGCCCCTCAGTCAGGATCTGGTCCTCGCTCTCACAGGGAGTAAGAGAGATCCATGGGGTATGGGACAGTAATGACCCTTCTGTTCCGTCCTTCCCGAGGGTTACTATGACGTGTGTGTTTTTTTTATATTTTAATTATGCTAATTTTTAGTTATATAGCTATTCATAATATTGCTTTATAGCTGTTATCCTATGGGGTTAAAAGGTGTTAGAAATTATTATAATAAGTTACTGCCCAAGCTTGGGTTTATCCAATAAGCAAATTGCAACACAACATCTTTAGGTTTAAAATTAACATTACCCTGCCTAAATCCAGCCCCTTCAAAACTCTCTGACTATGCTTTTTTTAGATGTCCTTTCTTGAAAGGTACTGGATAAGCTGGGCAGTTGAATCCAGTTTTTATCATCATCAAGGCTAAATTCTGAGTGAGAAAGAACTATTAGGTCAGCTAATTTCACAGCAATAGCTTTGTCTTTGAGGCCCAGTCAGTTCCACAAACACAAGTTACATTTGCAGGAGACAAAAATACAAGCTTCATATTAGACAAAAGTTCTAAATGCCTCCAAGAAGCACATATTTATTGCTTATTAATTTTTTTGGTTCTGGCCATCACAATCAGCAAAGCCTTTATGCTGACCTTTGTGCTGAAAAGCTGTTACAGGGTGAGCCACAATCGGCACTGCACTGTGCATCACTCCCAGCCTGGAAACAAGACCCTCCAGGGAAACGTCTGTGCAGTATTATTTGGTTTGTATTTCCCCTGAAGTACCAAGCACCAACATTTCCCATAGACTTCAGCTGCAGGTACACAGCACCTCTGTAAAATCAGTCTGTTAATTGGGTGAAAGTATTTCAATTATTCCTGCCAAGAGGCTTCAACGGTTAAATTAGATCCCACCAGCTCCAGTTAAAAAGATTTTTCACGCTGGAGGGCTGTCTTGAATTTTTTTTCTTCTTTTTGTCTGGTGCTGTTCTTAATGAGGTAATAAATGCATTTTGCTCTATAAAGCACATTTTTTCTTACAAAAAGAACTGGCTTTCCTACTTTGAGAGTATTAATATATTGTATTACATCCTTTCCTTTCCCTCTTGTCTGACTGGATAACTAGCCACTAGTGTATTGTTGGCCATAACTGAGCCATAGCTCATCAGGGGACGTTCTGGGAAGTGAGGGGTGGAAAGAGAGTGGTGTCCTCGCTATTTCAAAAGACTGAAAGTATTGAAGTTCTGCACAAATTTGGCAAGTGCTCACAGCCAAAAAAACAAAAATTCAAAGAGCCAGAATGTTTTGACATTTTCAAAACAAAACACTTTTGCTTTTTATTTCAAAATGTTATCTACATTTTAATAAGGCTGCAACCCAAAATAGATTGCATTATGGGCAATCAAACTACATCTTTTCAGCTTTTTTGTTGTTTTTATTTTGTCAACCCCCATCCCACCATCACCCAAAAAGAAACCCAACTGAAAACCCAACGTCATTTTATTTTTTTTAAGCTGAAACTCAATTCAAGTGAAATTGGTCATAAGCAGCCACCCAAGAGACCAGCCACAAGTTAGTTCACAAAGGCCACAGCTTTCATGTGGCAGTGTTCAGAGTCAGGCCCTTCAATCCGTAGTGAGATGCTAAGGGAAAGTTTAGAGAGATGCTTTAGTTCAAAAGCGCACCACCACCATTTTCTGCGTGCTGACACACATTTCACTGATTATACAACTGCATGCGCTGCAGCACAATGCACATCAGCTCACTCCATTAATTGAGTCTGCTCCAATGCACTGAATCGCTGACATGTCCCTGCACAAAAATGTATGTGTATAAATGCCCTAAGAGCCAGCATTTTCTGAGTGGTGCCCTGAGTCTCAGAAGATTGAGAACAACTGATGTAGACATTTCATTATGAACTCTTGGTTTAAACATTTGTTCACTCTAATTTATTATTCCAGGAACTTCTACAGCAAGAAAGCTCTTGCTGCATTTTGAAAATATAAAGAACAATTTCCTTTAAGGCTTTTATGTATTTGCATCATTTCTGTAACCTGAGTTCATGATGAATGAACTGCACAGCAGATGGAGATCAGACTGAAAAGCTACAAGAAAAATTCATCTCTAACAGGGTTGTCCACTTAAGAATGCAGCTGTCCTTCAGCAGACTTGCATATTCTCTGCTTTGAAAATCCTTTTAGTACAGCTGAGGGGTGTAATGGATGCAACTGTCTCCAATAAACTTCTCAGCAGGAACCTCTTGGGGTGTGTAGAGAGGTTACATTTTTCATGCAATGAGGCCCCTGAAATCACTCTATGGCCGTAAGGCTTAAGGTAGCAAATGTTCATGGCTGCAGGGTGCTTTTAAAATGGCCCCCTCTGTTCCCTATAGAGTCAGGCCCAGTCAATCAATTACTTAACTATATACAAATGTATTATTACAACAAAACAATTGAAGGGTAAGGAGAAAAATTATTATATACATATATATACATACACACACACATATACACACACACAACCAATTATTATTTAAAAATAGAGATGTATACAGATGAAGAATACAACAACCCAGAACAAAGGATATTGATTGGGCAACCTTATAACTCTATTAATATACAAACTATTGCTTCAACTTATTCACAAAAAGTATAAGGCACAGTCTACAAATATAACCAGCAATACTTAGCTTACATGGTTGCTCTCCAGGGCAGGGGCCCCACTCCCAAGGTATCACTACAGGAAAGGAGGTGGTGGGAAAGAAAAGGAGAGAGAGACCCCAAAGACTCCTAAGTTTCCTCCTCTATCACCCAGGAGCAGCCCACGTGGTGCCCCTTTGCAACCCTGGGGGGTCCCTCCCCTGTTGGGACCCTCTCTCCAGGGTAACTTACTACTCCACAGTGCCGGAGGGTTGCTTCCTGTTCTCTAGGTTGAGCTCTGTTCCCTGCCAGGCTTTCCTGCAACCCAACTCTGCTGCCGCCAGCCTGGCCTAGGGCCACATGCACCACTACATGTAGTGGGCCCTTTGCCTTGTGCTAGGGGCTGGAGGCCCAGACAGCCTTGTGCAGCACTGGGGCTTGGTCTGCTCCCGGACCCTCTGGGCAGTGTCGTCTGCATTGAGTTGCTGTCCTGAGCCACCTCAAGCGGCTCCC